TCCCGCGCGTCGCAAAAATAAGGGAGAAAACTTGTTAGATGTAATGTTACATACATAAAGAGTTATTTTAATAGTGGAACGTCAGCCCAAATTAAATGTCAGGTTGAAAGAAGAAACGTTTTTTTTTTCACCTATAGATTCAGACCCTGTTCACACGTATCCGGATATTTTTTAATCTCAGTTTTCAAGAAAAAATACACTTTCACAAGTAGCATATTAGAATCGTTTTCGCCCTTTCCTCACGACAACACTAAGCATGCGTAATGCAATAATATATGATGTATGACATAATCGTGTTTGTAAACCTCCGTTTTCGTCCCGCGTATTCACTCTAGACCGTCTGTTTTCAAAAACCTGCGTTTTTGCTGCTCAAAAACGCCGTTTGCTTGTGGACGAAAGGCTAAAACGTAGAAAAGAAATCTCAGTTTTCAAAATATCCGGATCAATACGTGTGGACACTGGGTCCTCAAAAAATATTTACACCAACTAATACTGTGCCTCTTCGGTGCTTATGTTTGCGCCTCTTAAAATACTCGGATTTAATTCAGAAGACCAATTAATTTTAATTATCCTTGAATCAAACTAATGTAACCGTAAAGCTTTGATATCAGCAATTTATGATATTCCTTAATTGAAAACGACAATTAACAATCGCGTTAACAAGTGCCTCATATCACGACCTTTGCACAGCTGAAGCAAAAACCAATTTATTGTTTTATAAAATTGTCAATGCAATCAATGCAGCAGTTAACGCAGCCTGAATTTCCTCCGATTACTTCGAGTCGTTATTACTCCCTCAGTAACTGTGGGAGTAATAACGAATCGAAGTAATCGGGTGAAATTGTCAGGCTACAGTTAACGTCAAATTTTATTATTATAGCGCGCGCTCAAAGCAGTACGCGTCACCAATGTCTGAGTTATGTTTAAGGTTTAGAATCCATATCGAGATGGAATTGAAAACTATTAATTCAGCGAACAAATTCTTTTTGAACGTAAAAATTTGCCAACGACATACTCTCTCTTTTTTTTTATATCAGTAACAGTGTTGTTTTACCGGCCCACGCCGAATACCGTAGCCTTATTTTTCTGCCGATTTTACGCTGAAAATACTGTCAGTATTATTCTTAAACTATAGCTTATGACATTTCCGTTTTAGAACGTCTTAAGGTTTCAGTTACAAGTGTTGGGTGTTTAGATCTACAGTAGTTTTGTTGTTAAGAGAAAGGAATAATTTTAGTCAGGGAGCATATGTCATAAAATAAATTTCCGTGGGATTTCTATGGTGAAAGCAAACCACCTACCTAGATGTGTTAAGGGAAACCTGAGGAACACAAAAAATATTGTCGGCAATTTTGTAACCTGCACCGGCGGCCGCTATGGGGGGTCTGTTTTTAGACCTATATGGTTCAACATGGAATCGAGGCGCGAATATAAAATGGCATGTAAATACAATTAACTACAATAAATTTCCACAAAAATACCAGAAATCTTTAATATAGTCTATCTAATACATATCCATAGACTTACCGTATTTATTCGAATAAGCGCCCAACCTCGAATTAGCGCCCACCTCGAATAAGCGCCCATCCCAAAGGCAGAAAAAGTTAATAAGCGCCCACCCTCGAATAAGCGCCCACCCCCTACTCCTCCCAATCAAACTCAAATAAGCGCTCACCCCACCCCACCCACTTGAGTGAGTAAATTCTAATAAGAGACTTCCCCGAGGACGGAGTCTTCTTCAGAGTATTTTACAGAAACCTTGCTTTGTTACTTCTTCGCGTTTTGTTATTAGCATTTATTGTTTTGTTATAAAATAAACATGCTTCACTTGCTGAAAATGGTGAAAATTTAATAAGCGCCCAGCCTCGAATAAGCGCCCACCTCGAATAAGCGCCCACTCTCAAGGTCCAAAAATTTAATAAGCGCCCAGGGCGGTTAATCGAATAAATACGGTAAGTACTAAATACTGATCACATGATCAACACTGCACGAAAGCGAGGCTGGTCATTTGTTGCCATCAAATAAGCATCAAAGGCATAAATTTTGGTATTGAAAATTGATCAGAGAGTTAAATTTATCGAAGTGAATATTCATATTTTAGAACTACATTCAAATCAATAGCTCATTGGAATCAGGAAAAAACTATGATTTTGGTCAGCGGTCATTTTCATCATTTTAAAGGTCCGCCATGTTGGATTTACAGACCAGGGGCGACATGTTTTATGGTGTTTAAGAAGATATGGAAACGGATTCTGGTTGAACAACAAACGAAACTGAGGCCCAAGGGTTGGATTTACATTAATGTATAATTTGTTAAAGGAGAAAAAAAGAAAATCTAGTTGAAAAGCCCGAAGCTCATGAAAAAGTTTGGGTATCGATCGAGGAATAGAGTAAATACAGCAATCTTCAGTACACAGAAGTGTGGAAAAAAGTTAAGGTTTACTTCTGTCCAAGAGCTCGAGGATGGGCGGGCATCATGGCATAGATCATGTTAAGGTAAGAGAGGCAGCTCGAAGGCCCCAATGAGTCCAGGCGAAAATCACGACCAGATTCATCAGTAGAAATCCCTCAACTAACCCGTTCGAAAACGTCTCCCTACAATAAGAATGTCTGTTCTTTCTACGATGGCCCACCCGGTTACCGTAAGAACCTGCATAATATCAGTACCTTCTCTGCTGGTGAGTCCCTTCGCACTGCCATTAGGATGTCAGGGAATGATAAGCTCTCAGTTAAGCTCAACACATCAATTTCTCCAGATGATGCTCATTCGATAGATATAAAGTACCACAAAAACTGCTGGAAAATTCAAGTATCGCACGTTTTACGAAGAGAAACATCCAAGTCATCATCTGCGAAGTTGGCTGGTGAGATTGCAGCACAAATGGAATTCCTTACAATGACAGAGATGACTTTGAGGAGTGGAAAAGTGGCGACTATGTCCGAATTACAAGATTCTTTTGAAAGCATACTAGAATCTAACAATGTGGAAAATCCGAGGGGCGGACGAAAGGCTTTGAAGCAGTTACTACTCCGAGAGATACCAGAGATAGAGTTTCATGCACCTAAACGTGTCAATGAGTCCGAGCGAGTCAGTATTAAGAAGACAAAGAGATGAAGCAATCAGATGACTGAGGATCAGACTGCAAAAATAGACTTCGATATGAAAACTCTGTTTGATGCCGCCGCAATAATTAGGAAATCTATCACCAAACGTAGGAAGTGGAAGTTCACAGGTTCACTGGGAAACCTGCCTGATGAGAATGTACCAGCAGCGCTTTTTAGTTTTTATAGATGGATTATACAAGGCACAAAACATGAGCTTTCTACTGGAAAGAAATCTGAGGAAGTGTACAATCGTGCAATGGCTCTATCCCAGACCACTGTATCGATGTGTTTGACTGAGAGGCAAGTCAAAAATAAGACGTCCGATGTCGTAAGATCCTCGTTGGAAATGCCGCTGCAGTTAGCCGTTGGGATAGGTGTACACCAGGCCGTGGGAAACAAGCAGCTCATAACCATGCTACATGGATTTGGAATGTCAGTGGACTACAACAGGATCTTGAGAGTAGAGGCCCATATCGAAGCTAGCGTTCTAAAGCGCATGGAGCTGAATGATGGTCTATATATACCCCCTGATTTAGTTTTGGGTGGGCACGTCCTTTTTGCGGTCGATAACGTGGATTTCGCAGAGGACACCCCTGGTGGCAAGAATACCTTCCACGGCACAGCGATGGCAATCTAGCAAAGGCAGGAACCACGCGGTGTAGCACCAGAGCTGACCGTGGATCCCAGAGATCAGTGTCGTCGCTCAATCAGACAGCTTCCCGAGTCTATAACAACCTTGCTAGAATGTCCTGTGCCCCCCGGAAAGCCTGTTGGTCCCACCTTCCCCCAGTTTGGATTGTGTACCGAAGACAAACTTGCATTGTACATCAAGAAGCAAGATTTCACATGGCTTCTCGGACGCAGTTTGACCAGAACGATCACCAAAAGAGACGTTGAAGAAGATCAGCCCCCTAGTACCGACATCCCAGTATGGTCTGGCTATAACTCCACTTTGAGTAGTTCCATGCCGTTGACACGAGTTGGCACCTCTCCCCTGATCTCTGCACCATCACCCGAGTGGCAGACTGCTTACCATTTTGATGCAAACACAGAGTATTAAGACGACTTGACATGGGACTCTATAAACTGGCAAAGAAGTTGCAGATGACCCGTCAAGATCTTGGGCATATAATACATCGTCCCGGTGAGGTACACATCGTGATGGACCAACCTCGCACAATCGGTGCATTCATCGAGAATAGCGGGCTGGACATGTGCTGGATCGAGTCGGATCTCTATGGGCCTTCCACTGTGAAGCAGATTCTCCGTGGGAACCACGTGAAGAGAGGAGAAGCAGCGCACATGGTTATATTACAAGCTCTATTCAGCCTCTACCTGGAAGCCTTCTTCGTGAGACACCCAGCTGTGTTACTGTTGTTAAGAAGTCGGCTAACCAGTTAAGCGATGCGTGTAAAAAAAGGCAACAAACAAGATATTACAGCAAAGCACAAAGAACTGGCACAGACCATCGCTTCAACAGAGCTTGCTGCAAAGATGGGGCAATTTGATGCTCATCATGAGGATAGTCCACTGTTCAAGTTCACTCGAGGGTACATGGCAATGGTTATGGAGATGATGACGTTTATCAGAGCCGTGCAGACAGGAGACGGGGATCTCCATTTAGAAGCCTACAGTTGTTTGTGAAGTACTTCTTTGCGCAAGACATGCTAAACTACGCTCACATGATTCCTGTTTACTTGGCAGAGATAGAGATAGTAAAGGAGACCGATCCTGAAATCTAGCAGGAGTTCCAGAACGGTAACTGGGTGGTGAAGAACAACGCGAAGGTAGCATTCTGTGCCGTTGGCGCCGACGGGCCTGAACACGTCAAAAGATCAATGAAAGTCTCAGGTGGATTGATTGCCATCAGGCTGAACCCTACTGCACGCACGAAGTATTTTTTGATTGCACCTGGGTTAGCAAGGCTGGCAGAACAAGCCAAGCTGATGGCAGGTACTTCATCCAAGACTTAGACTAGCCATCACAACCTCACCACTGCTGTCAGGTTACGTAAAGAAAGGAACGTCTAGCAGCTGACCGCTAGTATTCAACGCTTCACCAATGCGTTAACAGTAGAAGGCCCTGACCTGATGATGAATGATTTTTACCTGACATCCATGTTCTATAGACCGCAAGGCAGTATGAGATCAGTTGTGCTATTTTTAAAGTCGTTATCATCGCCAAAGGCCTGACTAGGTTTTGCGTAGTAATAATTATATATACCTGTAAACCTGCTATGGTTAACATGACGCCCTCGGAGCAAGGTTAATAATAGCTAACATATCGCATAGCTAAGGCCTGCACTAAGCGTCAAGCCAACGTTGTGCCGAACGTAATTCCATTTGGTTTGACGATTAGCGCGGGAGTGGTTCTAAACGCCAAATTGGTTGGTTCTGTTTTCATAAGCTAGTTGTACTTCTTCTTCGCACTGAAAGCGCCAATTTTCGGAAAGGAATTTGGTTAGGCACGACAATGGCTCGACGCTTAGACCAGGCCTAACAAGTGCCGGCGAGCTCAGCCTCACTTCCGTGTCCTCTCGTGGAACAAAACATATTCAAATGTAGTTCAAGTAACGTGAACAAAACATATCATCATGTATTTCACTTGTCGATTCATTTGTCTGAACAACTCCAGAAAAAGAAATATGCTTTTGATGTTTATTTGAAGATAGTAAATTACCAGCCTCGCCTTCGTGCAGTGTTGATCACGTCATCAGTATTTAGTACTTAAGTCTATGGATATGTATTAGATAGACTATATTAAAGATTTCTGGTATTTTTGTGGAAATTTATTGTAGTTAATTGTATTTACATGCCATTTTATATTCGAGCCTCGACTCCATGTTGAGCCATATAGGTCTAAAAATAGACCCCCAATAGCGGCCGCCGGTGCAGGTTACAAAATTGCCGACAACATTTTTTGTGTTCCTTAGGGTCCCCTTAACACAACTAGGTAGGTGGTTTGCTTTCACCATAAAATTCCCACGGGATTACATATGCTCCCTGACTATTTAATACATAGAAATATCATTGTTTTGTATTTACAGATTTATAACACACAAAATTTTATCCTTTCCAAAATGTCATCCTCGGGTTCATTCTTAAAATGTTCTTAAAATTTCGCCAATTTCTGCTTCGATATTCTTATAAAATATATTCTTACCAAAAAAAAAAAGAGTGTGGCTCGCACAGATGACAACAACAACAGTCACCTAGCTACTATCTGTTGAAAAATTCAGTGTCTTCTTTAGATTACGTTGAAATTTGTGAACACTTCATCTTGTGCTATTGAGTTATGGAAGCACGAATTCTATTAAAGCTCACAAAAACTCAAAGTATTTGTTGACGTCATCAGCGAATATCATGGATTACGAAGCACAAAGCGCTATTGAGTTTAATTCGTACATCTTAAACTGAGTCCTCTGTTAACTTAGGGACTTTCGCTTTTTAACTCAGGATTTCATAGCGGGAGGTAGAGTTGCGAATTCCGATTTTTGATTGAAGTTATACCCCTTTAGACCGGATTAAGATTCACTGTCTATGTTTTTGGTGACATCACAACACTGACAGTGCAAAAAAATTGGGCATGTGATGCTAGTTTAATCTTGATTTGGACCCCTCTGTTAACTTGAACTTAACACATAATTCATGCTTTCTACAGTTCAGTCAGTGATTTGTCAGAGAAAAATCCAATTCAGGCTACAAGGTCAGGGAAAACGTGGGAAATTTTTTTTGAGTTAGGCAAAATCTTAATTTTCTGGAATAGTGATGACTGAAGCAATTCCGGTCACTGTGTTCTGAAGGATGTCTTAATTTCTTAATGAAAAAGGTAAACCGTTTTTTGAAGGGCTGGTAAAGACGTTTTAATTAATAAGGACGGAATGATATTTTGCATTTAATTGCTTTGGGTAATTTCATAGTTTTAATCGGGAAAATGTCGGGGCATTTTTAAAACCGTTGTCTAAGGCTCTCGATATGTTCTTATTTCGCTTGAGTTGACAGGATTCAATTTCCTATTATGTGAACCGCAAAAATTGCATGTTGACGGCCCAAAAAAACGTTTGCACGGTTTCTTGTGCATGCCTTACAAAAAATTAATTAATGCTTTGAATACCATGACTAAGCAGCTCTGATCACGATAAATTTTCTCGTATTGTCTCGCTAAGAATATTTTTACGGCTATCGTGACATATTAGATTACCTTTTATAAAACTAAAGTAGGAGTGTTTCGCAGGCTTCAACGAATTTGAAGCTAATCTTAAAAAGCTTTCGATGGATGGCAGTTCTAACTTAAACAGAACAAACTAAAGATTAATTGTTAAACGTAACGGGAATGTATTTCATTTTTATGCACACGCAAGTGAATTAAATTCTGGAAGACGTAAAGGGGCAATGTCACGAGGATATTACTCAGGCTTTAGGTCAATTCTGTGCTGATATCATTACTTAATGTATTTGCAGATACGCAAAATTCTCCTGGAGAGTTACAAAGTAGGTATTAAACAAATTTCACCACAGACCACAAACCATAACATTCTTTGGTGATTTTTAAAGGCACACCATGATTGACACATGAAAAAGTTAGCTCGCCTTTTTTTTAAGTGTACAGCCATTTCCATTCAAAAGATGACAGGAAACTATTTTAATCCTTAACGAACAAACCGGACTATTATTTTTGGGATTCAATGATGCGAAAAATATTTTAACTTTTAAAAAGATACAAAATAGCTTACACTATGAAGCGGAAAAGATGCTGTTTCCTTTAAATGTGATGTTCCAGATTTACAAGACCACCAAAAAAGCGGTGGGCGATTTATAGAGATTTTAGTAAATCTGGATGTGGTTTTGCGGTTTTTGACGTTTCTGTGCCTGATTTTAGTTCTTTTCTGTTCTGTATTGAGATTTTGAATCCCTTTTGAACGAAAAACCAAAGCTTTTTGTAGGATTTTAAAGAAGCTAAAAGTTATTTGTTTAACTTGGACCGGACTTTGCCCGAAGGTAAAAAAAGAAAAAAAAAGCATCATAAAGACGGGTTATCATGCATTTGTATATCTTGGCATTCAAACAGCACGAAACAAACTTGGGAAACAGATCAACTGCCCACGCAGTCTGAAATCAAAGTTTTTGCTGTCAGTCCGAGAAGATTACTAGGAGCAAACACTAGGTGTAAAGAGGCCAGGATACGTGCTCCCTTTGGGCTATGCATGAAGAAATAAAGAAACAAAAGAGAGAAAAACAAAGAACGAAAGCATTTGAAGCAAACATCTTTATGGCAATTAAAACACAATATATATAATTTTTATTTGGTTATTCGTTTTAGAATGGTATCCTTTAGGGGTCAAAGAAAGCTTGGACCACGCCCAGGAACAGGTCTTCCTGTAAGTGCTTACACCAATATTCTCAAATAGTCGGGCTTTAGAGCCAATGGCCTTGAAACCGATGTAATAGTGATCAACCAGGATAACTAAGGGATAAATAAATATTGTTTTGTTCTTCTGGTAGAACAGTTCGGCTTTTTACGTGACTCTCATAACAAAAAAAAAATTAATAGGATCTTAATTTTTTAGACATTACAGAACAGTTAAAAAAAAACAAGTTCTAAAGATAAAGGTAAAGATAAAGGTCACGTATATAAGGGGGGTCTTAACAACTGAAAAATAAGTTGAATCAGTTCACTGGTCTATCTTAAAGTCCTAAGAGCTGTACACGGATGAGAAGTCTTTAGAAATGGAGTTGTTTCGTTGCGTTTTTATAGTAAGTGTGTAGCAGATTTTTTTCTCCTTCGTTTGACATTTTTCAAGTTAGGTAAACTTTGAAAATGCTTAAAGTAATCGGTTTCGGATGCATCAAATTTTCTGGGTTGGTTTTACCTTGGTTTCTTTGTAGCTGCTTTATTATTGCTTACGAAGGGTAATTGCTTTTAGAGGATAATTTTAGTGCTAGCGCTGCTATTGATGATGGGTAATTCGGAACAGATACTTTTGAAAAACTCTTAACAGATAAAATATACGTTTTAATGTTCTTTCTGTATTCGCAGTTTCTTGTGGCGTTCTCGTCTGCTGTGAAGGTCCAATCCAGAAAGGTTAGTTTAAGTTACGCCGGTCCCTGCCAATTTAAGAGCGACAACTATTTGCGGGCAGACTACTCTGCGACCAAGAGCTCGCTTAATAGTTCCCAATGCGAGGCCAGAGCCGATGGTTCAAGTAAGGGTGAGTCAAAAGTGAAAACTATTTTGAAATAAATCTAATTAGTCTCGGTTAAGCGAAGGAGCAAAGCAATCAAGAGATTAACGTGAGTATAACTGAGTATATGTATTCCAGTACAAAAGCGATAACACTGTGAATATGGAAATTTATCATTTATTTCAAATGTCAATTTTTTAAAAAAAGTTGTTTAATATTACCTGCAAATAGCTACCGAGCTAATCGAGGCTGGTGACTAGAAAAAGTAAACGGAAGGAGTTTTGTTCGTAAAAATCACGCCATGACAAGTTGCTATAAGTAATAAAGTTACACTGTGGGCATTCATTAGTTAATTTTGATCTTATTAGGTTTAAAAATACTTTTTTAGGATAAAATTAAAACAAGGTAAAATAAATAGAGAATAATACATGGTCGCGCGGAGATATGGAATTTATCTTCGAGTGTTCACATCGATATCGAACGAGTGAGCGCAGAGAACGAGTGAGATATCGAATGTGAACACGAGAAGATAAATTCCATATCTCCAAGCGTCCATGTATTATTCTGTTTATTATATAAACAAGAATCAGCCATTCCATAAACCAAAGCCATGCCATATAGTCGAGAACCCGATAAATGTAATTCATTGTTTAAAATACTCCAGTGTAAACTCGGAGCTCTACAAAGTACAGTAAAAAATAAATACAAATATTAAAAATGTCCAGTATCTTGTTCAAAATATAAAAGACAAGATAATGGTTAAAATGTTCTCAAACTATCAAATATCAATAATTTCACATGTAAAAATATCGTATTTTTACGTGTGTTCAGATACCACATTTCTCGGTGGTAGAAATCCTTGTAAAACACGGCAGTTTATATAATAAAATAGTTTAAAAGAAATGGCGAGAAGAAAGCTTGCAAGGTTTAAATGTATCTCTTATGATTGATAATTACGGTAATTTAAATTGATTTACGTGTTGAAGAATGGTGGATCGATGGGTCAAGATATGCGTGTTTGGTCTTTAGATCTTAATGAGGGACTCATGTACTTGAGTTTTGAAATTATTAGTGATGTTAAAGTTGTTTTAGATGTTTTGGTAAGACATTTTACGCTTTAGCCGTGTAGTATATGTTTTGAATTGGCATATCGAATTAGAGGTTGATATAGCATAATGGAAACTTAAAGGCCGATTGCTTTTTACAAACCTAAGGATAGTATAATCACTTTTTGTAGATAAAAAATGTATCAGCCATAATACAATCGTGCTGGTAGCCGGATATGTTGAGTAAATTATAACGTAGGCTTGTGGCAGATCAGACGCAAAGGAAATATAAAACGTCTGTACTCAAGCCAAAATGGGCGTGGAGTTGGCAGGGAAACACAGCGGCAAATGAGATTGCCATGGCGCTTTCCGGTTGCCGATCTGCCATCGGTCAATTCGGTGCTAAGATTTGCGCGCCAATTCGTCGCTCTCCCCATGCTGTCACGATCTCAGTCATGCGCAGAAGAAAAATAGAGAAGGAACTTGTTTGATCAAGTCTCCGTCCACACGGATCTTGATAGTTTTGAAAACTGAAAACTTTTTTTCCTTCGTTTAAGGCATTCCAGCACCAAAAATGCAGGTTTTCGAAAAACGGTCCTCAGAGTGGAGTTTTTTCTTGCAAACGTTGGCTTGTTAGAGACCTTAGTGAGTTTACGCAATAGGACGGCAGGAAGAAGAGGCTGCAAAATGCTCGTGTGTGACAAACGTGACAGGCTATTACTTGCGTGTTTTGTCGTAATCTTCACTTAGCAATTTATGTTTTCGGGTCTTTTACAAAAAGATCAGTTTAAAGGAAAGTGAAGTTTGGCGAAAAGCTATTTCAAAACAAAATTATTGTCACGCTTCAGTGCCACACAAGGTTTGCCGTCTTCTTACCTCTCCCGTCCTGCTGTGTAAGTTCACTCTTAAGATACGAGGACGGCGACGGCAGGTAAAACGTCGGTTTAAAAGTGAACTCGCGATTTTTCAATCTTCATCGAGTTTATTCCATTTCGCTTGCAAGCTTTGTCGAATGTACGTGACATCTCTTGGAGTTGAATTCCTAAGAGCCTTATCCAAGTTAAGAAAGAGAAAGAAAATTTCGTCGTTGCTTGTTTTAGGTGCATGATGTTACACGAGACGATTCGCAACGACGATTTTCACGATTGTTAGCGCAACACAGGGTTCAAATGTTGGAACAACGCTGCAGCCTTTCGAAACGACGTCGCAACAATGTTTTAACGCTGTACGTGTTGCGCTAAAAATCGTCCCACGTAAAATCACTTTTACGTCCTCTATAAAACATGAAATAAGGCTTTTTTCAAGTGGTAGTCTTAGAAGAACGGCAAAGAATTGTACAAAAAGGTGTGATACACGTGCAATATTGTTGTTTTGCTTTTCAAACCTATTGCTCTTATGACGTTCTCCATGTCGCCATCTCATCTTAAGGTCCCCATTGCTTTTGTGACATGTTGCTATCATACACCATCCAGCATAAAAGAACGAGCAGATTGCCTTTTGTCATATAGTATATCCTCTGTAAAGGACGTTATCGTGTTTCCATCGTTTCATATTTTTGCTCTTGTGGACGGGCAAAAGAGGACTCGAATACTCTACGTGTGGACGCGTTTTTAAAAAAGGGGGGAATCTCTGGTTAGGTGTGGAAGAGGGCTAAATATATATTATGTATAAATTTGTATGGTTTATTTTACGTATTTTAACAACAGATTAATAACATATCCAAAAATATATATGTTTAATTTTTTTATTGCTAACAGTTTGCGATCACTACCGTTTAGGATTGTTTTTTTTTTTTGCCTCTTTCTTTAGTTACTGCGTACATTGTTGTAATTAATTACCAACCGTAAAGCTTTATCACCGTCACATTAATTTAAACATTTCTTTTGCAGGAAATGCCGAATCAAGATTTCAGCTTTTAGAAATAAAGGAAACCAAAAATAAATGTATTCAGTTTACCCATCTGGATACTGGTGCAAAGTATGCGCTCAAGGTGGTGAATCAAAGTAGAGTAGTGTTTGAGGTGTGTTGACATCACAATCGTATGCAGCGTACTAGAGTACAGTTAAATCTTCATCCAGGGAATACCCGAAAAAGTTTTATACGGGGAGGCTCCACTTCCTAGCCCAACCCCTTTCACATACCATTTTTGAGGGAAAAGATACCCCTTTCGTATCATGGTACCCCTTTCACATACCTGTAGTTTAGAACTTTGCTTCCCTTTTAACTGCTGTAAATGCACCCTCTTTAAAGTATATGAAACAATCACAAAACCAGAACGTTTTCTCGACTTTTCTCACAGCCACAAAAAGCATCTTGTAGCCCTTTCAGGCCTTTTTACCGTTTGTAACTACAGATTTACCTAGCCTTTCATTTATCTAAAGCCTGAAAAAGCTATCACTTTTTTGGGGGAATTTGGGCCATTATAGGGAGTACTCTCCCGGAACCTCCAATAAGCGGCCACCCTCGGGGTACCGGCAGTTGGCCGCTTAATGTGGATTGTTCACTCAATAAAGGTTTGTCATAAATTATAATAACCTTTAGCAGAAACATACTTTATTTTGAAACAAACACGGGACGGGAGCGGCATTATTGGTCTAAAATCATTCGTCACATTTTATGTCGGACTGTATTTTACTTCATTATATTTTCAAAATGAAGCCAAACTAAGATTGGCTGGCCGCTTATGGAAGTCAGTAATGGGAGGGTGGTTGATAAACTAGTGGCCTCTTAATGGGAGTTAACTGTACTTAATGTAGAGATGATACTTAACATTTTTGAAGGTACTTAATATAAAAGTAATTCCGCGTTCTATAACATGTGATAACTACCGAGAAGGAATAACATAGAATCTAGGCAGAAATATGGAACAATGACCAAGAATATAACTTTAAATAAGGGGAAAATGGTAAGCCCACAGTACGAAACCCCGGGGTACTCAACAAAGTTTTATACGGTTGGCTCCGCCCCTTCATCTACACTATACACATATTCATATATACCATTTTTAAACGAAAAGGTATGAATGAATGAATGAATGAATGAATGATTTATTTAATTTCGAAGACGTGGGAAGTGTTTATACAATCTTCCGAGCCAGAAGCTCATGTTAAAAACGCTCGACAAACTAAAAAATACAAAACAGGGTAAAAAGTGAATTATGTATATACAAATATTAAGAAAAACCTAAAAACATCGTAATTTTGGGAAAATTTTTTTAAGAAACTATTTTCTGGAAAAAAAAAAACACTAAAAAAAACCTAAGAACAAGCATTATTAAAAATAGTTTAAAACGGACTAAAAATCATTATAAACTGATTAAAATATTAAAAAATATAATTATACCAGTATAATTATATATGTATATAAACTAGCCCAAGAGTATGTAAAATGTAAAAATAGATAAAGTTATATACGGTTCATACATTGGCACCCTGTGAAATTGACATTATTAAGGCGAGCACGAAATTGCGCTAAAGTGCTCGAGGATTCGGTTACAGTTGGTAATTGATTCCATATGTGGGCAATCATGTGTAAATAAGAGTTGTGCATGACAAGGCTGTTATATGGAGGCTGCACAACATTTAATCCACTGTCTCGTAGATTGTATTTAGTTAGCCGAGGTGTAAAAAATTTGGAAATATAATTAGGGCCATCTAGTTTAAAACATTTAAAAAATAAGATAAGCGATTGCGGGGTACGTCTTTGCTCAAGCTTGTCCATATGAGCCATTGCTAGGCAAAAGTCATAGGTAGCCGAATTACCTAAATTCAGTATTGTCTTGATCGCATAATGATTGGTACGTTCGATGTTATTTTTCAAGACTTTAGATATGCTCAGAGGTAGTGGGCAACAGTATTCTAAATGCGGTAACACGTAGGCTTTATAAAGGGAAATGATAACGTCCGAAGGAACTAAGCGCTTAATCCTCCGTAGTGCGGCTATCTTAGCATACGTTTTTGTCAGCATGATTGCCACGTGGGCCTTGAAAGACAAATCTCGATCCAATGTAACGCCAAGAATATTGAGAGTTGGGTCAATTTCGATGGACTTATCACCAATAAAAAGATTATATGGGTACTGAGATTTCCCCAGTGTCATTGCCTGAGTTTTGGTAGCGTTTACTTGCAGGTAATTCGCACTGAACCAAAGGGTTAATCTCTCTATATCTTGATTCAGTGTAGATTCTAGTGTGCAGGGGCTCTCATGGGCTATATATTGCGTTGTGTCATCAGCATACAGACGTAGGGAGGAACATCCAGCTGAGTAATTGACATCATTCACAAAGATATTGAAAAAAAGCGGACCTGGAAGACTCTCTTGCGGTACTCAACAGCGAAGAGGCAGCCAGTCTGACACCTTCCCGTTACATTTTACTCGTTGAAAGCGGCCTGATAGATATGACTGAATCAGTTTCATAGCTGAATCTTGAACGCCGTAAGCTTTCAGTTTTGCTAGTAATAAATTATGACAAATCGAGTCAAATGCTTTGGGTAGGTCAATAGCGATCACCGCCACATCCTTTTTATTGTCAAGAGCCTGGCGCCAATCATCAGTTAACTTTAATAAAGCGGAACAACAAGAATGCCCACGCAGGAACCCTGACATATTATCCGAAAAGACTGGTGTGAATATGCTGTATAATTGATCAAATTGTAGTTTCTCAAACACCTTGGGTATAACTGATAAGACACTAATAGGGCGATAATTCGTCTTAGATGTTTCGTCGTCTTTCTTATGAACAGGGGTGACGTTAAGTTTCCATTGACATGGCCACTCGCCTACATCAATACAATAATTAAAAAGTTTAGTCATAGGTCCAGCTAAATTACTGGAGGGCAATTTTAAGCAGCTTGGGTGGTATTCCGTAGCCAAAACAGGCTTCCGAACTTTTAGATTAGAGAAATTTCAAATCGGGCCATACTAACTGGATGAGAATTTTTAATTTTGGGTGCCTTCGTCTTAATATTGACAACACTAGCGTGGATAAAAGTTCATCCACGGAAAAGGTGGGGCGGACTCATTAATTGTTGGAGACGTAAAATATGAATAAAATACAAAACCAGAACGTATTCTCGACTTCTCACGGCCATAAAATTCATCTAGTAGCCCTTGGGTCTTTTTACCGACCAAATAACACATTTCCCTGTCCTTTCATATACTTCAATAAGTGAAATCCTAGAGCTGATCCTACTCTATCATATACCTGAACCTGAAAAAAAAATTAATAAAAATACCTGAAGCCTGGAAAAGGCCCAAGCCTTTCGGGCGGAGCCTCCCCGGAAAAGATGACATTTCCATTTCGATTTGTTTGAACACTTTATATATTCCTGTTTACATAATCAATTTTGTTTACAGAGGTATCAAGGATGTAGTGTCACCACACCCGAGGAGTTCCTGTTTGTACAAGAGCTTAGAGAAGAGGGCGACTATAGATATTTTCGGTACAAACCGGTCGACAACCCATCCATGTGCCTTGGCAAAGATATCAACTGTAATTCCCCTGAGAAACTATTTCTTGTCGAGAGTGGAAGCAGTGCTGCAGACAAAGTTCAAAGGCGTTGCCTATTTAAACGACATTTTCATTAAAGATCGTAAACAGGGCTAATATCACGCTATTTGTTATCTTTTAAAAAGCTAAAACATGTGTGCAAATCAATTGAAAATAACGTTCCAGTTATCTTTTTTACGACTAAATTTAGGCATCGAAACTGTTTCCTGTCGTCAGTTGCAATAGATGGCAACGATGGACATGGATGACGTCTGAAAAACGAGCGCAGAAACTCCATAATGATGACGTATCGCTACCCCAGATCTGGGTAGTGATTTTGATTGGTTGAAGAAAATTTCCCACGAGGTACTACCAATCAGAGGCACTACCCAGATCTAGGTAGTGACACGTCATCAGTATGGAGTTTGTGGGCCAGGCGTCATTTCACGCGAGAAGCCAGTGGTGGCGTCGCGTTATCTCGGCTGTTTTCTCATGATGAAGCTCGCCTAAAGGTTTCCCTTGAAGCAAAGACTAATATTAAGGACATGATAATCATGTCGTGCAACTAGCAACAGCTGTGTAACGATGCCAGTGGTATTATGCATTTTTTTACTTATTTTTTAAGAAATTAAAGTTGAAACCTGACATTTCGTTGGAGAGAAAACTTTATTTGGGGAGGGGGTGTCGGGACGGAGGGGGTAGGGGTGAGGGGGCAGAGGGGAGTTAGAAGGAGAGGTGGAGAGATTCCTAATTATTTGGGCGTCGCCCAAATAGGGTAATCGAGTTCGCTTGTTTTGATTTAAAGTTGCAATAGGCACGCAAGACGTGCAAACGTAAACAAGCCAAGCGACGCGAATGTCTGCTGGCGCGCTGTGCCACAACACAGCGTTTATCTTCGTTACATACGACCCACAGATAGCGCACGGCAAACAAATTGGCAAAAGAAAATAAACATTTTGGAAAAAACAATCGAAAATGAGTGAAACAAACTGTTAAATAATTAAAATTTTCTCTTTGGAAAATAATGGTCCTCGCAGCACACGGTGTGAATGGTTTGGCTTACTGTCAAGAGTTTGACAATAATCAAACTCGTGCATGAGGTAGTTAAGGGTAGAATCGCATAATTAAGTAAAATCTCCCATTCTGATTGGTTAACGAAGCGAGGTATTTAGTGTGGAATTGCAAGTTGAAAACGAGGCTAAGCGATATTGTTTCGCATCTACGTAACAACTATCGTCAAATTCTAACACAACATGCAAAAAAAGTTTTCTACAATGTCATTTTAAAATGTTTTCAAAACCATTCATTGTCACTTTTTGAAGAGTTAAAAACCAACGAAAGCGTTTTTTAAAGTGAGCCGGAGGTTCTTCCTTGTTTTGAACTGAACTACAGATCCTCGAAGAGACATAAAACCTCTTTCACTCGCGACAACGAAAAAACAAGAAAATTTTGTGAACACGGCCCAGAAAATGGCAATCCAAAGTTCAACCAAACAAAACGGAGAAGCGACAACGGAGGAAGTGCCGGGGTCGATTGTCCCATATACAGAAGAAGAAATAAATACCTTCAAAGAGGACATGGCCCCTGAAAACACGAAAAAGAGTACGCCGCCTGCAATCGTCCTGAATCGTGGTACTTAGAAAAGTACAAAACAGAGCTGAACTTGAACAGCATTTCTAAAACATTTCAAGGTACTTACCTTATGTCAATCGCGACGTTAAACATGTTAAACTTTCAGTGCTTTCGCTTGGACACTTGATTTCTTTCCGTTTTGCCGCCGAAGAGGTAAAAGGTGTAAATTATTTTCCTTCTCGAGCAAATGACCAATTTGAAAAAAGACGTTCTACATAAACGGCTTCTAAATTCAGTAAAATACCTCTATTTATCCTTACGATTAGTGTGAAGCTTGTTTACACGTAAAAAAGTTTGAAAACAAATGTAAAAACAAGCACAAGGTACAAAAAAAGTTGTCGAAGGTTCAAACGTGTACGACTGACCTTGCTTCCTATTCGCTAACGCAATGACAGTTCTGACAGTTGACTTTGAAATGGCTTTCTGGAGCGCGCGCTCAGGATAAAAACAAACAATATTATTGCTGTTTTCTTTCTTTTTCTTCTGATTTTTATTCAATTATGCGATAAATTCATTACCTGCTCGAGAATTCCACGTTAAATTGCACTTGAAAACCGATATCGCACTCATCGCTTCGCGATTCGTGCGATATCGGTTTTCGCGTGCAATTTAACGTGGAATTCCCTCGTCAGGTAAAATTTCCTATAATATTGAAAGATGCATAATTTAATTGCAAATTTTCGGAAAGGAGGTGATTTCTTAAATCTTTTTGAGCAAAATGACCTCGTAAACAAGTTGCATTCTTTCACGGTTGAACCGTAAAAGGGGCAGAGTCCAACATCTTCACGTGCAAACCGCGTTCTATTTTTAAAGCCTTTGGGTTAATTACATTAAGTCGTATTCTCTCATACACGAACCACAAAAGCGGTAAATTCGAAAGCTTTCAAGTGCAAACTGCGTGACAATCCAATGTGGGATCCACAGCGTCGTTAAAGCATAAAGCATTCTTAGCTTTTCTTAATGCTCAAAATGATCAACCTTTAAAGACTAGAAACAATTGGGTAAGATTTAAAAAGATATCTTTTGGTCTCAAACCAGGCTCATTGTAAAAGACGGTACTGAAGAATGAGGAGGGCGGGGGGAGATGGGGGAACCAAATCACAGAGCTTAGCCTCGTTTTGGTCCAAATCTCATTCCCAGTGGCTGTTTGCAAATTGATACACCTAATTAATTAAAAGCAGTTTGATCTTTTCCTCCCAGTTTGCATGTCATTTTATCGACATCAAAAACGGCTGAGCAAGGAAACTGACAGAACTTAATTACGGAACCATGTGGAAATTGTTAGCTAGAATTTAGGCTCCTCTCCAGGGAGCGTTGCTTGAAGACACAAAGAACACGCCATGTGTAGCAGACTAAGTGAGGCCCGGAAGCGGAAAAAAAGTGATTCTGGCTTTCAACTGAGGTTTACTAATTCAGAATTGTATTTCTCTATTTCAAAAAGCTGGATCGTTTCTTCAGATATATGAAATCATAGGGTCGCACTCCTCTAAAACAAGAGAAATCCCCCTCCCATTTTCAAATTTATTCATCCCTTTCCCAGTGGTTAAATGCCAGTCCCTTCAGGACCCTCGTAGAAAGTCTGTATAGCCCCAGGCTCCTTGGTAAACTTTGCAAACCTGGCTAACCCTAGCACGTGTTCTACAGGACCAAGGCTGCGAAAGGCACAGATTCAAGGATGTTCAAGTTGATAATTTATTTCATTCTATTTTCTGATTTATGCTACAACGTTAGTCAATATTACAATCAGTCTTAATTTGTGTCATACCTTTTCAGTAGTATTTACAAACATTGAAAAGGGTTAAAATGCACCAACACTTTCAGTTAGTTTTGTTTTTCTACAAACATTAAAACTAGACGAATGTATTATGCACACATGCGACATTGTATGATAACAAACTAGCATTTATTATTGGTAGGATAAATTACGTGCTTTTTCCTTGTGTCTTGGCTGGACCCCGCTGCAATTTGCAGAATTTGTTTTAGTATATACTATAATATGCATAGCATAATAAACTTTTTAGTTGAGTGAAAGGGGCGTGTTTGATAACAAAAATTTTTTTGGGAGGATCCGCCCTTGGAAGTGCAGCCCCTTATCCTTTTATTTATTATTTATGACAAAAAAGATCCCCTTTCATATACCCTCCTTTTAACAAAAAAACGGTACCTCTTTCGGTACCGCTTTTACCTAGATTAGAACTTTGCATCCCTTCAAACTGCTGTAAATGCACTTTCTTTAACATGTAGGTAAATCACAAAACCAGTTTTATGTACTTAATCACTGGCCAAAAATGCATCTGTAAGCCCGTCTTTAGAGAGTCACCCTTAGGTGAATTCTTTTTCGAGGTTTCTTGGCCTCGAGCCGCTGGCCTCCAAGCGTGCTGTTGCTTCTTTTACATAATTTATGTCCAGCATTTACACAACCTTGGAGAAGAGGAAAAACTGCGAAACAATATAATGGATATATGGCGTGATGAAACAATTATCAAATTTGAACCCGTACTGATAAAGAAGAAAGCTTGGTTGGAGATCGGATTTCTTAACTTTAAGTTTCTTTCAACAGCTGGCATTGAAACAATGGTTATATCTGCTATTCAAAATAAAAATAGTTCGGAAAAATGTAAAAAAAACCATACAGAAATAAAACCAAGTGCTCATAAAGCGCACTGAGCTTCTCGTGACTCAGGGAAAGTGCGACATTAAACTCAACTTGTCACACTATTCTACCCTTCCACACCTCCGAGAAGTGTGGAACTAAGTAAAGAATGACAAGGGGTTCTTAACAGGGGGAAAAGTGCGACAATATCCTTACTTTGTCAGACTATTCCACAGTTCCACACCTCTGAGAAGTGTGGAACAAGGTAAAGAATGAAAAGGGGTTCATGACTGGGGGAAAAGTGCGGCAGTATCCTTAGTTTGTCACACTATTCCACACTTCCACACCTCTGAGAAGTGTAGAACTAAGTAAAGAATGACAAGGGGTTCTTAACAGGGGGAAAAGTGCGACAATATCCTTACTTTGTCAGACTTTTGCACACTTCCACACCTCTGAGAAGTTTAGAACTAAGTAAAGAATGACAGTGGTTTCGTATGACCAGGGGAAAAGTGTTACATTATCCTTACTTTGTCAGACTTTTCCACACTTCCAGACCTCTGAGAAGTGTGGAACAAAGTAAAGAATGACAAGGGGTTAATGACTGGGGGAAAAGTGCGACAATATCTCTAGTTTGTCACACTATTCCACACTTCCAGACCTCTGAGAAGTGTGGAACTAAGTAAAGAATGACAAAGGGTTCATGACGGGGGGAAAGCGAGACAATATCCTTACTTTGACGGACTTTTCCACACTTCCACACCTCTGAGAAGTGTGGAACAAAGTAAAGAATGACAAGGGGTTCATGACTGGGGAAAAGTGTGACATTATCCTTACTTTGTCGGACTTTTCCACACTTCCACACTTCTGGGAAGT